GGGCATCCTTAGTGACCTCAGTATTGAATTTCCTGCTATCTAGTGCTTGTCACAGTAAACACACACACACACACACACACACACACACACACACACACTGGCTCCATATATTAACATACTTGTCACAGAAATAGTTATTTAGAAATTGGATTGAGAATCCTTGAAAGATATACCTCCAGAGCATATATTAGAAAAATATTTAAGAGAGGCCATTATGCATGTGATTATCTAAGAGTAGTAATGATTTTTATGAGAACAACATTCATAGCTACGTGGTAGGAAACATGGCGTTATAAAAAGAAACCAAGCATATGCGATTTAGAGTCAAAATGGGCGAGACTGTCTATATGAGGCATTGAATAGTAACCTATGACTATGAACAGTACCCTTCAGGCATGACAAAATACCCCTCCTTCTTCTAGTGTCTTAGTGACTATTACGGTTATTTCTTACAGTCCTTGGTAATCTGAAAAAGAGTTGTACAGCAAGAGACAAAACTTAACCAAAACAAATATCACTTGTCTACATGGTGGTGTGTAATATTTATTAATTTAGAACCTATTAAAGAACTTCATGAAGAAGTCTCAAGATTTAATTAAGGACTTATCGCTCATATCCAGACCTGGTTTTAAATCTGACCTTGTGAAAGCTTCGTGTACCTTTGACACTTTGTTCTTCTCTAGATAAAAGGTATATAAACGAATAACTACGTCATACTTATATTATGATTATGATGTGGGTAGAGCGAGAGCTGTATTCCGAGAGAACCCTATAGGCTTAAGATTTTTTAAAGATAGAAATAAAATAGGGGCGCCTCGGTGGTTCAGTCTATTAAGCAACTGACTCTTGGTTTCAGCTCAGGTCATGATCTCACAGTTCTTGAGGTTGAGCCCCTCATGGGGCTCTACCCTGACAGTGCGGAGCCTGCTTTGGATTCTATCTCTCTCTCCCTCTCTCTTTGCCCCCACTCCCTCTTTCTGTCTCTGTCTCTGAAGAATAAATGAATAAACTTAAAAAAAAGAAATAAGTATCTGAAGAGATTATAAAAAGAAAAACAATAATGAAAAGTAAATTCAAAATAGAAAACTGAAAAATAGAGGTTGAATTGTGTTCAAAAGCCAGCTCTTTGAATAGATCAACAAAAGAGGCAAACCTCTTCTAATCCTAACAAAAGAAAATGAGAAGAGAATGAAAAATAGACAAGATTAGTAATGAAAAAGGATGTGTAACTGCAGATAAATAAGAAACTGAGAGAATACTATAAGCAATTCTGTGAAATTAATTTTGAAAAATCCAGGACATGCATGATTTCCTAGAATAATGCAAATTACTAAAATTGACATAAGAATAGCAGAAAATTAAACTAGACTAATTACATCAGAAAACATTGGTAAGTTATTAGAGATCTACCATGGAAATACATACCAGGATTCTTCACATATGAATTTAACCTAATCCTTAAAGAATAGTAATTCCTATATTTTAAGGTATTCCAAAGCATATAAGATAAAACCCTGCAATTACTTTTGTGATGTCAGAATAACCTTAGCAGCAACAGTCAATAAGCATAAAATTAAATAACAAATGTATAAGACAATCTCATTTATAAATATGAATACAAAAATTAGATTGTTGAACTACATAAAACTGTTTATAAGTGATAAGTACTCCATAAATATTAGGTATTGATTGCAAAGAGCTCTAAATATTAAGAATGAGAACAAAAGTACCCTAGAGAAGAAGGAACAAGCCATATTAACAGACAATTTACAGATGCAATTGCAATGATCAGTTATACAAAAAGATTCTCCAAATGCAGTAGGAATCATCGAAATAAATTAACAGTGCAATATATTTTTACTTATCAGGCGAAATGAAAAAGCAGAAACATCTATTGCTGGTAAGAGAAGAGCCTATTCATACATTGCTGGTTAGAATATTAAATGCTAAATCCTTTTCATAAAGAAGAACCTACCAAAATTAAAACTAGGTATACCTTTTTGATACAGCAAATCTATTCCTTGGAATAGCTACTATAACAATAAAAGCATCAGTTATCTGAGGATGTATACACAAGATGTCCGTCGCAACATTATATAAAGTGGCAAATCTGTTCAAGTCCCTGCTTTCAGTTCTTTTGGGTGTATCTCCAGCAGTGGAATTTCTAGATCCTACTTAATTTTAATTAGTTTTTCTTATGCGGCCTGCCATTAGCTTCTAAGCTTTTTGACATTAGGGGCTCTGTTTTACTCTTCTTTATTCACAGCTGAGCACAGTGCCTGGACATAATAGAAATTGGATCTGAGGAGGGATTTTATGAGGAGAAAGAAATAGAGGAACAGTCTCCCTGCTGATACAGTGAGAAGGCTTATGAAAGTAGATAGAGGCAAGCCTACTGCTTGCTCTAAGTCTCCCCAGGATGTTCCCTATGGCAAGTCCAAACATAACTACTAGCAGTGATTCCCCCAGTATAGGTCTACTTCCTAAAAAAAAAAACCACATCTTCTCCATTTAAATAACTGAATTTTCTACAATGTACAGTCTGATTATCACTTTCACTACAAGCACAACTATCTCTTTTGTGCTCTAAGTACATCAGTGCCTGACATAGAGCCAAAATGTATTTGTTGAATGAACGCATCAGTGATTCAACTGATAAATTTATAGTAGCTTTTCCATATGGAGGAGCTCCTTCCCTTACTACCACATAAGGAATCTCCAAATGAAATGTAGATGACAGTGCTTTCTTGTTCTTGAGTTATTAATCTCCCCTGGGATCTCTATGTTTTTCTTCCCTAATGAGTTCTAAAAACTTATTGTATTTTAGTTTGTATAATTAAAACAAAAGTGTTACAGCAAATTATTATCTGCATGTGTAGGAGAAATTTATGCGAACGCCCAGGAATTTGAAATACTCAATTATAGCATACTGAATTAGGGATGATTTGCATGGGATACTCCTGAAATTCAAATGTGCAACCAAAAGCATCTGCATTGCGGAAATAAGTAGACATGTAATATCTCATAATGGCAGTATCATCTTGACTTTCCTATACCAAATAAAGTCAAAGTCTTTCATGTCAACCAGCTTTGAGAGTTTCCATTTATCCACTCCTCAACTGAGCCTTACGGAAATGTCCGTTTATATACAACTTCAGGATAACTTCTCTGTAAGGTCCATATGGTACCAAATCCTCATATCTAGTCTATTGTCTAGTTCAGTAATATCCTCTACTATTAAATATGTTTGAAATTAAACTATGGACTTGTATCTTGATCTTCCATCCTTGTTCAAATGATTCTACATTCTTTTCTGTATACTTTATTTGTTTTAAGCCAACACACTAATAGTATTTATATAGTTGGGGTACAAAAATAAATGTGCGTATTTGATTATCCATTGGACCTGAAAGTATATTTATATGAGGCATAATTGGGAGTGATTTGACAATTATACTGAAGGGCAGCCCTTTTATAACCACATCCACCTGCCCCACTCACCCCCTTCACTCTGATCTCTAACCTCTGGCATTTGCTACCCTGTTCTCCATTTCTATAACTTCGTCTATTCAAAACTGTTAATGTTACTTAGCCTTTGAGATTGGCTTTGTTTTTTCACTTGGGGTAATTCCCATGAGATTCAATCAAGTTGCTGCTTGTATCCACAGTTTGTTCCTTTTCATCACAGAGTGGGATTGCATGGTGTAGATGCACCACGGCTTAAGTAACCAGTCATCCTTGAAGGGCACCTGGGCTCTTCTCCCAGATCGCTGTTTTTGACTGTTATAAATAAAGCTGGTGTGAACACTTACACATAGGGTTTTGTAGAAATGTAAGTTTTCATTGTTTTGGGATAAATGCCCTGGATACCAGTTGCTGGATTGCATGCTTAAGCACATGATGAGTTTTGCAAGAAAGTGCCAAAATGTTTTGCAGAGTACCTGTACTATTTACATTTTCCCCAGCACTGCATGAGTGATCCACTATGTCCATATCCTTATCAGCATTTGCTGTTGTCACTATTTTAAAATGTCAGCTATTATGATAAATGTATAGTGCTAGCTCATTGTGGTTATAATTTGCATTTTCCTAATGGCTAATAATGTTGAACATCTTTTCATGCACCCATTTGCCTGATGCTTACATTTAATCTGACTCCACGTAAAAATATCAGGAGCATAAAGGATAGGAGATAGGATTTGCCTTAAGAAAAATAAAACCTGGGGCACCTGGGTGGCTCAGTTGGTTAAGTGTCTGACTTGACTTCAGCTCAGGTCATGATCTCACGGTTGGTCATGAGATCCGGGCCCTCCATCGGGCTCTGCGCTGGAACTTGGCATGGAGCCTGCTTAAGATTCTCTCTCCCTTTGCCCCTCTCCTGCTCGTGCTTTCTCTCTCTCTCTCTCTCTCTCTCTCTCTCTCTCTCTCTCTCTCTCAATAAATCAATACAATAGAATAAAACCTTGCCAGATTTTGATTCCCAGTACAGGATTGAGAAAATTGAGTTTACCATAGCTCCATTATTTATTGGAGTTTTAATATCTGTTTCTAAAGCAACGGCATTTTAGTCTAATGCAGCCACCCCTAATTATAATAGCCTTCCTCTAAGCAAGATTGAAGGACAGATGGAGTTTCTATTTATTGAGTTTCAATTTTCTATTAGGAAGCAAATCTTAATTTTAGTCATCCTTTATGAGTTATCATTGTTATACATTTTATTTGGAGATACTCTGATTGGCCACTTTAATCTGCAGTAATCTATTTATATACTAAAAGTACATTCATTTCCTATCTCTTTGTAAATGTGTTCGGGGGCACTTGTTTGTTACAGAAAGTCCATTTACAAATGCATTTTGTTTCATTTTTGGATTATTTTTTAAAAGCTGTAATACTGTTTAGGCTCTGAAAATAGCTAAATGCAATTACCTTCCAGTTTTGTTTTCTTTCCAAATAGACATTTTGTCTCTTTCCTTCAAACGTTTTCCCTTTATCTTTAACAGGTTGATTTAGTGAATATTGGAAGCACTGACATAGTAGATGGAAATCACAAACTGACTCTTGGTTTGATTTGGAATATAATCCTCCACTGGCAGGTAAGAATCTTGATGACTGTTTCCTTTTTGGGTAAAATGTTGCTGATCTTCCTTTCATGTTTGCCCGTGTCCTGCAAAACAAACATGTATACCTCTAACAGAACAAAGCCCATCTCCAAAGCACTGCCTTTTAAATGGGCACAGTTAATGTCATTTGAGATGTGAAGGATCAGCAGATTATAAAACAGGTTCTAGAACACTCGCAGGAATATTTTTCTAAATTTTATTTCATTGTGTAGAGATGACACAAAAAAGAGAAGTTTAATCAATAGGTTAATAAAAATATTTTTCACTAATATGTGTCTTCTATAACTAACCTGTGAGCGAATCTACATAGTTTTATAAAAACTATTAACCACTACCAAATGAATGAGACTTTGCAAATCTTTTATTTCTCAATGTAAATTAATTCCAATAAAAGATTAGTTGGATAAGATTATCTGTATTTATGTTATACATACATATATATGAGTTTATAATCTGATTTTGAAATTGATTATATTTTCTGAATGCCTATATTTTCTGATGCCTATATTTATTGGACCTCTGCAAAACAGATCAAAACTCATTTGGTTTAGTGAAAAGAGTATATATTTTTTCGGTCAGAGCAACATGAACTTAAATTTCAACCTCTTCACTTACCATCTTATAGTGACATTGGGTATAATGCCATCTTTTCTGGGCCATAATTCCCTCACTGTTAAAATAGAAAAAATAATAATTAACATGTGTATTTCTTACAGGACTAAATGAGAGAATATCTGTAAAGCACTCAGTAGAGTACACTCTTTTCACTACAGGTGTATCATAAATAATTTTGATTGCTTGGCGTTTTCTGCTCACAATTTAAGAATCTGGAGGAAAATTGAGATGTCTGCTGTTTTTACTAGCAGTGATTAATTTTTCAAAAAACAACTTTTTTGATATGTCATTTATATATCATAGATTTACTCATTCTATGTATAAAATTCAAAGTGTACCAAACTGGTTTAGTTCTCCTGCCTAGTGCTTCTCAAATTATTTTGAGAAAGGAACAGCCCCCACCCAATCCATCCAAGATTTGGGGATATTTACAGAGTTGTACAACTATCAAAACAATCTAAAACAATCTAATTTTAGCCCACTTCTACCAACCTAAAAGCAAATCTTATGTCTTTTCATAGTCATTCCCCACTCCACTCCCCAGCCCTGGGCAACCATTTATCTACTTTCCGTTCCTATATGTCTGCCTTTTTGGAAATTTCATACTAGTGGAATTATATAATAAGTGTTCTTTTATATTTGGTTTCATTCACTGAACATAATCTTTGAGGTTCATCTTTATTATTGTAGCAAGTATCACTACTTCATTTAGTAGGGTTGACTTAACTTGAATTGTACTTTGGTCCTGCTTAGAGTCAGTATGGAGACCAGAGGTGTACCTTTCCACCTCAGCAAATGAATTGATTCCCATATTGACCCAATTGACCCCCATATCTTTCTATTCTAAACACTCTGAACAGGCTCAATCCTGTTTCACAGCAATATGGGAAGAGATTGAAGACAGCATAGTGGATGACAACAGAAAACAGACCATAAGAACCTCAAATGAATCCAAGATTCCCAATTCTGGGCCTTTTCCATATAGGGATGGTATCAAATAGAACCAGCGAGGCAACACCGGGCCCCTCACCAAACTGGTTTACTTCTCTTGCTCAGAACTTCACAAACTTACCTTGAGGAAAGTAATTTTTTTTTCCTCCTCTTTTCCATTGTATGCATATTATAGTAAAACTGAAGCATCATAAAAATGAAATAAAAAGACACCCCAAACCCACGCCATTTTATCATTAAACTCAAAAGACATACGTAGGACCTGTAAAATTGTTACAGTAATTTCTAATGGACTATCGATTGTATAGACACAACTGGTTGTATCAATTGATACATTGGTACAAATGGTTCATGGAGGGACCCCAGCTTGCAGAAGACACTTTAAGTTGCACAAGAGCATATGTTGGTCGTGACAAAGCCAGCAGAAGAAGTAAGGCATGCACGGAGTCCCAAATGGCTATTTCAATTGTATTTTTCATCCAAACTGTCTCTCATATGATTTCACTTTCTTATCTTCTCAAAACCCTTTCCCACTGCATCTGAACTCACTCCAAGATAGAGTTTCACAGCTACCCTTGTACCTTTTTCAATTGTTTGTGATTTTGTGCAGTTTTTTTTTATTTTTTTTATTAGCATGTGGAGGGTCTTTCACACTCTGGAATACCAAAAGGAGTGCTTTTGCAGTCTTTCCTCATCTCAGACCTCTCTTACAGTCTGTTGTCTTGCATTTATGTCCTTGAATCACTGTATCGTTGTGATTGCAAGGATGTAGACTCTTCTCAGCCTCTGCCTCCTTATCTTCTCTGTCTTCTATCACCCTGCTTGGTTCTCTTAAAACTTCTAAACTCACTTCCAAAAAATTCCTCCTGCTCAATACTCCTCATCATAACTCAATGAATCCCAGAAGGTATTTTCACAGAGAGTATATATTTGCCTTCCTGTTAAGTAGTCACAAAAGCCATTGAATATCAGCAGAGATCAAAGGACACTCTGGCCAACCTAATGTACTTTCCTGGTCTATCAGATTGAGAATGGCATTAAGAGATGGAAAGATGTGAATCTTTTGTTCCAGTGCCACATACTATGTTATTAATAGTGCCATGGAGGACTTCCCTTTGAACTTGTAAAAGCTGAGGAATGCTTACCGTGTGTCTCCTGTCACTGTTTTTCCAGTTTCCACGTAAATAAAATCATTAGCCTGAAAATAATTGAGGAAAAATATATTTTTCTTCAATAATATATTGAGGAATAAGCACCATTGAACAAACTTGCGAAGTAGACATATGCCACATGTCTTCCTTTTTTTAAGATTAAAAAAATTTATTTATTTTAGAGAGGGAGAGAGAGAGTGAGTGGGGGAAAGGCAGAGAGAGAAGGAGACACAGAATCCGAAGTAGGCTCCAGGCTAAGAGCCATCAGCACAGAGCCCAATGCGGGGCTTGAACCCACGGACCAGACCATGAGATCATGACCTGAGCTGAAGTCGGACGCTTCACTGACTGAGTCACCCAGGGGCCCCTTCCTTCTTTTTAAAGTGCAAACCTTTCTTTGTAGGGTGGTCAGCTGAGTTCTGATAACCAGCTGGAGATACAAACGTATCTTGCTAACAGTGGTGTGCTATCAGAGGTCATGTCCCCACCTTTGCTGGCTAAGTCAAAGGAAAAACTCAAATCCAGGGCGACTTTAGCCTGCAGTATTTATTTACTATTTGAACATCATACAGGATAAAGATGGTTTTGGCACTGAAGAAAGCCCTTGCTGTAAACTCCTGCCTCCCTAATGCTCTGTGTGCAAGACAGGTCTTGCTCTGGTCCTCACACACACCATCCTTCCCTTGTAAAAGACTGTCCCTACCCCTTTTTACTCTTGCTCCTCCACTCTAACTCCTTTTGGTCACAGGATGGATTCTGGGAAGGAAGCATTGAATTCAGCAGGCGGGACATTAATTAAGGCATGCTTTGGGGACCTGCACCTGAGGAAGGGAGAAGGTAACCAGAGCGAGAAGAGCTGGAGGTGTGATACACACCCAGCCACAGTTGTATTGCACCCCATGTGGAACTGGGAGCTGGAATAATCCTTGAGTGTCGCTCTGCGTGAGGCTGATATGGCTAAGCGTTTAAACCATTTTCTTCAGCAGTTACTAGATGCGGGCTGCCCTAGGAAGGGCTTGACCTTAGGTGACAGGACTCTCCAACATCAGGTAGTCCCTGAGAGGACTCACAGATGGAGCAAGGAGCCTTTCCTTGAAGGACACTCTTGGTGGTGCACCTCCATGCCTGTCATAGCTTCTTTGCCCAGTTAACTCCTAGTCATTTTTTGAAACCACTGCTCAATGACATTTCAACTTGTTCCTTTTGAAAACAGATGTATAGCTGTATGCACGCACGCACACACACATTTGTTTAAACTGATTTTCTCTCTTAGGGACTGTTAAGTCCTAAGGGTGGGAAAGTTTTCTCCTTTAAGACTCACCTTTGGACCAGCTCAGTGTCTGAAGGTTGGTCCTTAATAAAGATTTCTGAGTAATTGTTTTTTATGTAGGAAAAGAACTTATTATCTCACATTGACCTTTATTATTATTTTTTTCTTAGCAACATTTGCACCCAAGTAGAAACAATACCAGTGGGGCTGAGACTGATAAGCTGAATTAATGACATAATGATGCTAAAGGAGTTTTGGTTGGAATACTGTGTTGTCCTGTAACATTTTGTGCATAGAGGGCAGCCTGGCTAAGCGCTTTCCAAATGGATCCCATTCATCATGGGAGGGTTGCCTGATCAGTGCAAATCACCACCACTGAGCTGGTAGGTGCCGAATCCAACGGTGGTTCAGCCTAGGACACAGAGTACATGTCTTGCAATCACTTTACATGGAGGTTGTGCACTTGATAACTTCAGAATATGGTGAGAAAAATGATACATCTTATATAACTCTTTGACCTATTTACTCACTGAGTAACTGACTAAATAAGCAGGTCAGGATGGAATTAAGAAAACTGGATAATCTGCCTCTAAATAATAGATTTAGCTATCAAGGGATAGTGATAAATATATGCAAAGATCTCACATCTTCACATCATTACCACATTTACAAAGCATCATCTCAAATCCTTTTCAAGTATTTTAAAGTGAGATGTAGCAGTCTATCCTAAAATTTGCATCGACTCTTTCATAAAAAGATGACTAACATTGGAGATGTTAAAATATGTATTTTCCCCTGAGGCCTTGGTTAACTTCTACATGGATGAGGAAGCAAAATAAAATGTCATATTTAGAATACACAATAAATATTCATCATCTGATCACATGTTGGTAGTGTATGGACCTTATGCTTTCCAAAAGGAAAGCCCTTGGTGGTAAAAACTAATCACATTTACTTAGATACTTCCTTCAGGTATATAAGGGGCCTGACTTCTATTTAAAAAGTAGCCTCATAATTAGGCCTTTACTACGCTATGTAGACAGTTTGTTCTATAATGTGGTGTCACTGCATTCTTGAAATCTAGAGAAATGTTTAGAACGGATTTCTGCATGAGACAAGTTAGAGGAAGGAAGCAATGAAATACGACAACCCGCTGAACGGCATTTGCACAAAGCCATGGCAAGAATCAAATGTACAGGAACTAATAAAAATAAAACCAGGAATCTGGCCTTTTTCTCCTCCGTGGTCTGGGTTTCCACTTCCCTTCCGGCTTCTGGGAGAGAGGGAGGGAGGCGGAGCTTCGGCTCTTGCAGCCAGCCACCTTGTGGCCCACCAACCTTGACCCTGACCAAAAAAAAAAACAAAAAACGTCCTGGGAGCCTGGTGACCTTCCGGCTCCGCCCTCACGCCTGCGTGCTGTATCTGCTCGCTCAAAGGCTGCCTCCTGTTGGCGGGGTCGAGCTGTCCTTTGTCACCTTTGCTGTGTGGCCTCCTCAGCAGCTGCCTTCCTGCCCGCTCACCTGCGGGACTCGTGCTGGCTGTCTTCTGCTTCGCCCAGGGCCTGCTGCCGAACAACAGTGGTAGGACATGCGCTGGCTCACGGTGGACTTCCGACGCCGTGTCAGGGCCGTTCTCGTCTGCCTCGCCGTCTCCACTGCAGCTGTCGCCAATTCCTCAGACTTGGCCCTCAGACGGGGTCCCTGGCGTCTTTACCATCATCGTGCTTGCGAGGGACTTCTACGTGACCTTTAACGAGGCGGCCAAATTCCTCGCACCGGGAGACTCTGCAGGCGACAGCCAACAAGGCATCGGAAGAAAGGGCTGACGCCGTCTGACTGAAGGCCTGCCAGTGCCCGGGGCCACCCGCGCCACACGGGTCATTACTCCTGCTCCCTGTGACTGGACTGTGGCCAGGGGACACCGTGTGCTGGGACGGGGGCCGTGACTTCGCCAGGAGCAGCGGTGGAAGTTGCCGACCGAGCTGCCGGCCCTCAGCCCTGCGGCGCCACCCACCCGCTCTGCGTCCAAGGGCCTCTTGAACGCTCAGCCCCTTCTCTCCACGTCTGCCCCGCAGCCCGAAGCCCTTAACCTCTCTGGCAAAAGGAGCACGAGGGGACAAAGCAGACGGAACCTTGTCACCCCCATCACAGGCAGCGCTTCTTGATGTAGGGGGAGGGAGAGTGGGGGTTTGAGGACAAGGCGCTTTACTTGTTTTCGTCTGCATTTGGCGCCCCTTGCTCGTGCCGGGTGCCTTGTCGAGAATGATCCTTCCAAGATTCTTTTGTTCAAGGAGTACCGGGTCCCTCTTCGTTCTTGAGGCAGGAAGAAAAGTGACTTTGCCCTGTCATCTAGGAGAGAGTAGGTCTCGGTGACCGTAAGTGACACCTCGCATTTTTGGAGACCACATCTGCTTCAGGTGACATGACTCTTCCAAGATAGTTTGAAAGAAAAGCTCATAGATTAGCTTACCAGGTCCAAAATATCAAGAAATAACCGTGAAATAACAGTGACAGCATCCTGGGTGGCCCAGACAAACACTCTTTTCCTGGGGGCCACCAGCATCTGCTTCTAGACACCGGGCCAGGTCTCTTACCACCTTTGGGGAGGTAAGATGTGTATTCTGTGTTCACCTCAGGACTTCTACAGTGTATGTATCTTCAGTGGGATTTTGTGACACAGTTTTTAATACTAAAGCGGCTTCTTCAGTGTCATTTCCCGTGACCCAAGAGGCCTCATAAACGAGCCAAGGTTTTGGACCCATGTTTTGGGCATTTGTAACTTTTGTTCTTCTCTTGCATGTGAATCTATTTCCTGGAAAAAAAAAAAAAAGCTTTAACAAATGAAGCCAGACTGACTACAAAACAAAGACAAAACAAAACCCAAGGCAATACATTCACAGCTTTTAGGGATAAATACTTTTACTTCTGTTGATTTTTCTTGTTATTTATTTTAAAAAGGCAAACTCATTTATTCTGTTCTGTTTTTCATTTTGATCAGTACACATAATTTGCATTATTTTAAGTTATGTTATAAACCTAGGGATTTTATGTTAGTATAGCTGTCCTTTGATTCTTAAAACAGCCTTGTATATATAAAAAACAGAGGCCTAAAAAAGGTTAAATGGCCCAATTAACACAATTTGTTAATAGCAGAGGCAAAATTTGAACCTAGGTTTAAAGACAGTAAGCTCATTCTCTTAGCCACTGTGCCATTCTTTCTTTCTTAAAGCCACTGATATGGTACCTGCGTGGCTCAGTCGGTTACGTGTCTGACTTCAGCTCAGGTCATAATTTCCCGGTTCCTGAGCTCCAGCCGCACATCAGGCACTCTCCTGTCAGCACGGAGCCCGCTTCAGATCCTCTGTCTCTCTGCCCCTCCCTTGCTTGCACTGTCTGTCTCTTAAAATAAATAAATAAACTTAAAAAAAAAAAAAAGCCAGTAATCTTATTTTAGGCCTTTGGTCGATAACAAATCTGATGTTTTTGTACACTCTTCTCTAGCATATCCACTGAAAGTTAGAAGATGAGCAATTCGAAAAGCACAGAATTAATAGTTTAATGTGGCAGAATCTGGGAGTGATATTAAACGTGTGCAATAAATGGCGTATCGTGACACCAACCGATAAGAATACATTCCTAACTAATTAGAATGGACTCTGTCCTGGTAGAATCTATTATTCCTCACTACTAATTGACCCTAAAATTCCTATTATTTTTGAAGATTAGGACATTTACATTTAAGTTTGTGTGGTTCTTGTTCAGGGAATGCATTTTCTCATGAAAATTTCTTTCCACACATAGGTCAAAAATGTAATGAAAAATATCATGGCTGGATTGCAACAAACCAACAGTGAAAAGATTCTCCTGAGCTGGGTCCGACAATCAACTCGTAATTATCCACAGGTTAATGTCATTAACTTCACCACCAGCTGGTCTGATGGTCTGGCTTTAAATGCTCTCATCCACAGTCATAGGTAAGGCGACTACTGAGATACTAATTTTTGTAAGTATTGATTTAGAGACTTAAATCTTTTTCTCCAGTGCCGTTCTGGCTCATTTCCTACTATTTAACATGTTTATATGTTAAATGTATTTAATCATATTGATCTGGCTCTCCATTGGAATGCCCTAAGTAAGAAGAGTCTGTTTTTTATGTGATATGTCATTTAATGGTTGAAATATTAAGATACAGGAGCATGAATACGGTTGCAGGAGGGGGCCAACATGTTTGAAGTTGGGACTCTGCCGGAAAAATCAAGGTTGTATTCTAACTTCGCTAAGAATGGAGTTGGTCTTTTTACACAAATAATTGTTAGTATGGGCCAAAACTTCAGAGCTACAGTGGTTCCAAATCTCATGTGAATGGCTGTAGTAAAATTAATTACTATCGTCAGATTAATAATGTGAAAAAGTAACATTTCTCTTGTCAGATATACACTTAGATAGCAAATACATAAGGCTCTGTGTATTTGTGTGTCTGTGTGTGTTTTAATTTTGAGGTTGAAAGAGGCTTTGAGCATCTTAGCAACCAAGGCAAAGAGCAGACCACAATTCCATGACTCAGTGTTGAGAATATCAAAAGAAACAATTGCTCTGGAATAGCAGAGCAATTGCTGGAAAGCATGAGAGAGTTGTGTGGGTCATCATAAAAAGAACTCATTGTGTTATAGTGAACCAAATACTCTTAACTGTATTCCAAACACTATTACGTTTTCTAAGATAACAAAATAGTTTGCTTTTTCTTGTATCAAGATGCTTAGTAAAGGAATTATTAACAGTTCAAGAAAAAGCAAAACAACGTGGTAAATACGTATAAATAATGCATTTGTATGTATGTAAAATATAAAAAAATATATATATATATCTTACGTATAACACATTGAGTGCAAAGGATATCTACTTTGGTTTTCCTATTACCCATCTCTTTTATCTGGCCCAATCCCCAGGGTCAAATACATTCCCTTATTAACCGTGTTTGAAATGCCACTGGACTGCATCTGCCCTGATTTTCAATGCAGCTTATCTTTTCTCACTTTGATCTTTATTTTCTTGACGAGTCTCCCATTTCCCTATGCCGAACTTGTTTCTAGAAAAGTCCAGAATATAAATTTTCTTCATGGTAAAGCTCCATCCAAGAACAAATGCCCTCTCAATAAGCATCTTTGTCAGGTGTCGTGCTCCAGCTGGATTTAATTAACCCCATCCAGACTGGGTTTCCAGGTGAATGACTCAGCAACCCGATTTTCAAAAGGAGGCAAACTCACACTCATTTGGCATGTTAAGCAGTGTTAACACGTTGTTTTTCCTAAGTATGACATGAAGAAAAATATTGCATAGCTTCGATACAGCTAGATGAGAAGGGATAGAGGCATTCATTCTGCATTATAAGTCAGTGCTGATTTATGCAGCCTCATGCTTCACAGTAAGGGCCTGAACATATTGATCTTGCTGTTCATGTACACGTTGGCAAATGAACAGAAATACCGAGGATCAGGTTATGTGGTCCTTGTTGGCTCTTTAGCATTTTCTTTTCAAGTGGAAGACTTCAGTCCTGTCAGCATGTTCACACACTACATTTGTTAATATTATATGTCATGATTTCTCAATGTTTATTTATTTTTGGGACAGAGAGAGACAGAGCATGAACGGGGGAGGGGCAGAGAGAGAGGGAGACACAGAATCGGAAACAGGCTCCAGGCTCTGAGCCATCAGCCCAGAGCCTGATGCGGGGCTCGAACTCACGGACCGCGAGATCGTGACCTGGCTGAAGTCAGACGCTTAACCGACTGCGCCACCCAGGCGCCCCTATATGTCATGATTTCTGAATACATTTGTAATATAGTAAACATTTCTAGATTGCCCTGCAGCATCTGTCCCTGACCCACTCTTTCTTTCTCAAAATATCATTTATATATTCTCTCTTGTCATAGTGAATGAATCATCAGTAACTACCTTTTCATACATAACATAGTTACTTTTCAAGAGGTTTCTCACAGTTGATAATGCTCTTTCATGAATCATCTCTGTCTTCTTTTTGTCTTTGACAGATGTTCATATTGTTTATCTAAAGAAAAAAATGGTTGAAATTTCTGTTCCAAGGTGATTGTCTTTGGTACACTTAGAAATGCCATGAGGTGTTCTGATTTCAATAATTGAGTGACTAAGCTATATACAACAAAGGCATGCACTTAATAAAGAGCATAGGGATTGACAAAGAGCCTTGCAAAAGGTTAGGATATTGCTTGCCTTATATCTATTTAAGGCTAAATTTTATCTGAATATGTAGGAAATGAGAAGTATTATATGAAAACACAGAGTCCACTACAGTGCAGTTAAGTGGAGGCCAGACTCTACTTTTGTAGGAATACTAAATGGTAATTCATTAGAAATAGCTCAGAATATACAGATAAGTTGCTGTAAGTATGATGTTACAATTACATTTTCTTCCTAATCCATCATTTTAATTTATTACCAAAGAAGTAACATAGGACGTAGTTAAAAAAAATCAGACATGGTGGGGGGCAAAGGAAAGCAAAACAAAACAAAATGTGTCTTCGTGACCCCAACCCCACCCAGTCACCCTCCATTTCCTGGAAGTGGTTACTGTCAGCAACTTTTATCTTTCTGATGGTTTTCATAATTACATGTTTCATTTCCTGATTAATGTCTGATAGGAGGTGGATTTGCTTCTTAATGCGAAGCCCACAAATATTATCTCTTATCCCTGTTTCCTAATTTGATTACTACAATATAATCATTTCATTCTTAAAATTGTTGCCTGCGATACTTTAAGTGGTATTGGTGTACCTTTTTTTATCAAGTTTATAATTTTTTTTTCAAATTTTATTTTTAAGTAATCTCTACATCCAGTGTGGGGCTCAAAGTCACAACCCCAAGATCACGAGTCACATGTTCCTCTGACTGAGCCAGCCAGGCGCCCCTTGTTTCATCAAGTTTAGACAATGGGGCGCCTAGGTGACTCAGTCGGTTGAGCGGCCAATCATGATCTCGCAGTCCGTGAGTTCGAGCCCTGCGTCGGGCTGTGTGCTGACAGCTCAGAGCCTGGAGCCTGTTTCGGATTCTGTGTCTCCCTCTCTCTGACCCTCCCCCATTCATGCTCTGTCTCTCTCTGTCTCAAAAATAAACGTTAAAAAAAAATTTTTTTTTAAAGTTTAGACAAGATTTGTTGAGTACCTGATACAGAAGATCACACTCTCTTCTCTCCACCTTCCATTTTGTTATAGTATTCTTAAAAAATATTCTCTGAATATAGTTCATACACAATGTTACATTAGTTTCAGGTATACAAAATAGTGATCCCACAACTCCTACTATACTCACCACGAATGTAGGTACCATCTGTCACCATATAACGTGATTACAGTATCATTGACGATATTCCCCCGACTGTGCTTTTTATTTACACGACTTACTCATTCCATAAGTGGAAGCCTGTTTTTCTCATTCCCCTTTGCCCATCCTACCCACCACCCTCCTGTTTCATTATTTTTCCATCAACAGTGTTTGTAACATTTACAAATATAAGTTATAGGTGTTCTTGGCATGAGCCTATAAATTGAAAATGCAGTATTGTTATTTCATACATACAATTAACTTTAGAACTCAGTAATACTTCGTTAGTAATAGTATCAAAGTGTAATACTTCATTAGTAATAGTGTCAAAGTAATTTGATACTGTAATTAGTCCCATTGCACATAATGGGAAACTGAGGCACAAAGAGGTTGCATTATTTACCTAAGACCATTTGGCTAATATGTGGTAGAGCCAGAATTTGCATTTACAGAGGACTCTGCTTATCTACTGGGCTTTGTTATCTTACTCAAGATGTTCATTTCCTCAAAAGGTTGGTAATCCTTGGTTACACGTTCTTATCTACGAGTTCAGGTCTGGGTTAGCATGGGAAGGTGTGCGGCTTTCTTCTGCATTTGCTTAGTCTTACAATTCTTTATGCATTTGGAGATCATAGTTGCTTACAGTGTTAATTGTCATGATGAATTTTAATCATTTAAAACAGATTAATCTTAATACTAGAGGGGACCTCCAAGGCCATTCAGTACATTTCCTTCTTTTTTAAATGAACACACTGAGGCTCAAATAGGTGATTAGTTCATGACCAAGAGGAGAAGGGGATGAAGGAAAAAAGGGTTAGAATGAGGAAGCAGTTCTGTTTTTTCATTATACTCATTTAACTCTGTTGACTGTACTGTAGGTGAGAAAACTAGTCTCTCACACTCTCCTACCTATATTCTTTTCCACTTGGATTGCTGAAGGATGGAGAAAAGAAGGTGGAGCAGAGATTTCAGAGTGAAGTTAAAACTTCTGCAAATAGTATAGAATTTATGATTTCTCTTTTGAAAAGAACGGAGATGTTTCTTTTAAATCTTTTACTTTCTTGTGTAATACGATGATCGCCTACACACTGAACAGTCATCCAAAGAAATGGAACCTCTGTAGCAACGTACACCTCACTCTGTGTTCCTGTTCACCTCATTTCTGTCCATAGCCCCTGGGTAACAATGTGATGAAGCAAATACTGGTCGAGAGAGAGAGACAGAGTGAGTGCAGGGGAGGGGCAGAGAGAGAGGGAGACACAGAACTCGCAGCAGGCTCCAGGCTCCGAGCTGTCAGCCCAGAGCCCGATATAGGGCTCGAACCCACGGACCGTGAGATCACGACCTGAGCCGAAATTGGACGCTTAACCGACTGAGCCACCCAGGCGCCCCTATCATTGTTATTTCTTATAGTCTTTCCACACTCGAGTAAGCTCGCAGGTTATACAAATTTCAAGTTTTCAAGTATTATAGCTTTTTTGGGTAACATGGAGTAGAGAGGGCAGGTTAGACTTGCTAAGAAGTGAACAAAATTCTGGTAAGTTAATCAGGGTAGCATCAAGAAAGGAAAAGGAAATGCGAGTCCAATGAGAGAATTGTCCGTTTATTTTCATTTATGGTTTTTGAAAATAACAGCTAAGCCCATCCTTATAATTTCCTACCTTGTACAGCGTGAGTTCTGAGGCAGGAGTCCATTGACAGACCCCATTGTCTTAAAATTCTATGTAAAGTATGTTTAAAGATACGGACAGGGGTTTTTGTATAGATATACGTTTTCTAGTGCTCATCAGATTTTCAAAGGTGTCTGTGATCCAGAAAAGGTGAAGAATCAGTTGACGAGTGGTTTCCAATGTTGTAGGGGTAAATGGTAATTCCTTCAACGGCCAAGACCTTTCTCAACCTCCTCCCAGTCCCCCTTCCTAACCCCGTCTCCCACTGCTTCTCAATGGTAAAGATCTCTCTGTGGAGGCAAGCCTTTGAGTTTTGACCAACTAAGCACATTCTGCTTTTTTTCTGGTGTAGGAAGTTTGATTTTTTAAATATCATTACAACTCAGAATTCTCTTCTCAAAAACTTCTTAAATCTCGTTGCAAACCATGATTGAAGATTCCCTTAAGCCTCAAAAATTTCTTGACCTCTTCAGATTTTAGAAAACCTTTTCTATTTTTCACATTTACGATGTATTTTAACTTATTATGATGTGGGTATTTTTTCCTTATTAGGTTTTAAGCCCTTAAAGGATAAGAATTCCCTCTCATACTCCTTTTTGTTTTCTCTATTATTAAGTAAATTGATATTCTTATAGTATATTGTCATCCATTTGCTGCTTCCATGTCAACGAAATTTATCGAATCAACAAATATTTAGTCAACAAGTATTTATTGACCATCTCCTATGTGTCAGGCTTGCGTTTCCAGAAGTGAACAAAAGCAGTGAAAAAAACCTTTATTCTGCATTCTAGTGGGGGAAACAGATACATAGACAAGATTGGTTAAAATACATAAAATATTAAACAGTAGTAAGTGCTGATGAGAAAGAAATGGATAGGAAATTAGTATATGTATAAGTTTGATTAGGAAGTGTGCAATTTTATTTATTTGTTTTTAAATGTTTTTTCCATTTATTTTGGGAGAGAGAAAGAGTGCAAGAAGAAGGAGGGGCAGAGAGAGGGAAGGAGAGAGTCCCAAGCAGGCTCTGTGCTCTTAACGCAGAGCCTGATGTGGGGCTCTATCGAACTGTGAGATCATGACCTGAGCCAAAATCAAGAGTCAGACACTCAACTGACTGAGCCACTCAGGCACCCTGGGAGTGAGCAGTTTTACATGGGGAGAGAGGAGGGAATAACAATCCTAATCATAATCATAATAAGGACTTTTAAGGAAATACATAAAGGAAGTAGAGAAGTGAGCCATGTCAGTGTCTGAGGAAAGAGAATTCCAGGCAGAGGGAACAGTACATGAAAATACAGAAACTACCTAGCCTCTTTGAGGAATGTGAGGAGAGAGGCAAGGAATAAAATCAGGGAGTTAATGGCGAGGCAGACCATGTAGGGCCTGGTATGTCAAAGTTAAATCAATGAATTTTACTCCCCCGATAGCAGGGACTTGAAAAGAAGGTTATGATGAAACATTTTAACAGATCACTCTGGCAGCTTTGCTGAGAATAGATTAACAAGGGCAAGGGTGGGAGTAAGGGAGACATGAGAAAGTTAATGCACTAAATAATCCATGCAAGATAAAATGGTGGTTTGGATTGAGGGGATGGCAGCAAGGATAGTGACAAGTGGTCAAATTCTGGATACATTTCCAACCAAGTGTTGTACGAGAATGAGTCATCAAACTAGACTCCAGAGTTTCTGTGTGAGCCACTGCAAGTTTGTACTTGTTGATTATTGAGGAAGGGAGAACTATAAGAGAAGTAGGTGGGTTTGGGGTGGTGTGATGAGGTTGAATACTACAAGTTCAGTTTTGGAGCCTTGAGTCTTGTGATGACTCTACATAGAAATACTGAATAAGCAGATGAATCTAGAGTCTGGAGTTCAGGGAAGAGGTCTGGGCTAGGCTTGTAAAATTGGAAGTTACCAGCACATGGCTGGCACTCAAATTTCTGAGGTTAGGTGAGATTAATATATTTCTGTTGCTTGACAAGGTAGAATAAATTCCCCTTTGTTTTCTTCAGGTTTTTCAAGTAAAATTCCAACTTGTTTCAATGAAACACTTTATTGAGGGGTAATGAAGAGTAACATTCAACTCTTAAGGGGGATGGGTATGAGTTGTCAATTAAAAATCAGAATCTTGTGGAAAATTGTAAATTGATTTCTATTTGTCTTTGTGTGTGTGTGTGTGTTTCAGGCCAGACTTGTTTGATTGGAACAGTGTGGTTTGCCAGCAGTCAGCCACACAACGACTGGAACATGCGTTCAACATTGCCAAATACCAATTAGGCATAGAGAAACTGCTGGATCCTGAAGGTTGGTACATTTCTCGAGTGCCATGGCTTTTAGTGTAGTTTAATATTTATCATGTCAGACTTAAAATTTCCACAAACTAAGCACAAAAGAGAAACTATGCATGGTACGTTTTTCTGTATCCTGGATGTATTTAACACACTCTTTCTTCTTGCATTATATTCTGAATTGTCCTGCATGATTTTAGTTCGCAAAATACCATTATCTTAAAGTGTGAAACTTGAGGAAAAAAATTCCAACCCTTTAGAATGTATATGCCTCATGGATGAAGCATACTACGTTTGAAGTATGTTGACTCCAAATAGTTATAAAAAGTTCATGTTTTGCTTATTCTACCAAGAGATTTGATAGACTAATCAGCTATAATTAATTAGCTACTCTTGCCAATTTCATTCATATACTCTATAAAAGGCAACATGGTTTACTGTTTAAATGAGGAAATCTATTCCTGGCACTGCTTCTGTTATAATTTGTCACTCTGGGGGAAGTCCTCCGTTGGATGGTTATTCATTTTCTGCTTCTTAAATTGACAGGCAGCACTGTATTTATGTTTTCATTATATTATGCTTAAATAAATAGCATCCTTATCTCTGGTGCTACATAGTCATACTTTGCACACACATGCATTAGAGGGATAATGATTCTTGACTTCTGCTTTTCTTCTGGCTTATGAGGCACTTTTTTTGTTTGCCAACTTGTTTGAAATTGTACACTCTGTTCTCACTTCCCTGAGGCTTTACCCTACTTTAAAACCAGAATTTGGAGAAGCAGTATCAGTGGGATTGATATCTGTGACATAATACAACCTGGTATTTGGGTAGGGTTATATAATTAAACGGTCTTTGGAATATCGAATCATTTGCAACTGCGGAGATCGAGTGGTAGTGATAGGTCTCATCAGGAAAAGCCCAGAAACACTTCAGAGGATAGTCTTTCAGTGAACTTACCTTCAACTAGAATCTAATCATCTGTGTTGCAGACGTGATTGTCTCATCTTATTGACAGCAGATGCATATTGTGTGTGTGTTTGGGGGGAGGGGTAATTTTAAACTCAAAAACGCATATATCAATCAAAATGAAAATTCAGTCGTTTTAAATGAGATACATAACTACCACAAGAACCAGAATAGTCACATGTAATTGACCAATATATTGTTCTTATTAGGCACGTGTACTTGGGAAGGAAATTGATAATAACACAGATGTGTTTGTGAGATTGAAATCCGATTAAGTTCATTAGAAATGTTTCTTCTGCTTTAAATAATGCATAATTTAGCACTGACTCCTGTAAACTCTTTTTGTTGCTTCAGTAGATAATTAGCATTCCTCCTGCCCCGGTCAGCCCCGGTTTTGCTCTAAGGCAGAAATTGTATCAATCTTATTTCCTTGTTTTGCAGGATGGGGGAGGGTTACCTCACTGTTGACTCCCATACAGATTTACATGTTTTTTTTAATATCTCCAGTGAGGTAGATAAGGGCAGACATAATGAAAATATGAACTCTAACCCCTACGCGTAAAAGGTACAGTGTATGGGTTTGAAGGATACGCCTGCTAATAGTGTTTTATTTTTCATTAATCCATACATGGCAACCAGTTCCCGTTACCTGGGATATATGCTCTAGTTATTCTTGTATGTGCCCTATCCTTTCATAAAATAGTAAGAGTAGGCTTAAATGAATTTTTTCTTGTTAAGTGACAAAATGGCTTTTGATCTTAAGTCCTCCTTTGAATCAGTGAAATAGGGACACCAAATAGGCATCCACATCATAATCAGGAACAAGATTGATAAACCTGTAATCAGAAAAGGGCAGTTGCATAAATGATGTATTTTATAGCATAAAATAGCCTGATAGACCCATTTCCATACGTTTTCCTAAATGAGAAGTACATGTTGAAATGCATATCCTCTAGAGCATTATAATAACTCAAACAACAATTCAATGTCAACCAAATATAACATGGAATACAAACTGATTAATAGAGATCAAACCCCTGATTATGGTTTCGTTTTGCCAATAAAGTCTTTGAGCTGAAAACCCTTTCTGTTGATGGGCTCCCTTCCATTTTAAAGAGCATTCTGTCTCCTGAAATGGTTTATTACAGTTTATTTATGGCTGTCAGTAGGATGAGGATTCAACATAAATCTTATATGTTTAGATTTCTGTCACTTCCTGCCACTGTGTTAGGGAAATAACCAAGTATGCTTTTAAAAATTACTGTTCAATATCTTTCAAGAGGTGTTATCAGTGATAATTGAAAAAAAATACTAACTGAATCGTAAGGATTTTTATTTACTCATTTGTTAGTCGCAAAAGAGAGAATAGCATTTCTAAGAATCTAAGACTTAGAACACTTTGTTCAGTGTATCTCACATGGGAGATTCATGGACTTCTTTCATGCTCTGTATGGTAATTACCTTTGAGATGTTCATATTTTTATTTAAACACATATTGGTTCTTTAGCTTATACATAACGGTGTCAGCTATTCTCCAAAGCAGTTTTCATTTCATAACTAATATACTTCTTAGGAGGTTAATAAAATATTTTGCTTTATATTTGGGGAGATTTTTATTTTGGGGGGATTGAAGTTGTATTTGGCTTAAGAAATACCTGCCAAAAATGTGTTTAGAATTTTAAATGTATGCTTTGTTTATTGGGTTGATTTATAAATTAAAAAGTCATTGAAGTATAATTGGGAGGTTTTCATGTCTTGCATATATTGACTTTGGTATATTTTATTTGGCTTTAACTGGTGTTTTGAGGCCTGAGGTTTGGTTTTAAGAGGAATTGCCTTTTAAAATGAGTAGCAGTAAGCATTAGCATAAGCAATTTCAGGAGCTGTTTCTGGTGTGTTTAAATGTTAACATATGCAAAAATAAGTACTCCTAGGGTAAAATTATTTAATAATTTATGCATCTTTAGGCTCATAGTTATAGAAGGTTTATCTCCTTCAAAATATATCCTATTGTGAATCAGACGATTCACTTTCTGTCACGATTTCCCTGTAAGACATGCTTAGTGCTTGCATTGTGGGTTTTATATACCCACAATTATTGTTTGCTTCCCTGAGTTTCAACAAATTAGTTTGTTTGCCAATCCACACAGCACTTTCTGCATTAAGAGAATGCTTTGTCAGCTTTTCCATGTGAATAACAAAGTAATGATGTTCTTTTTAAAGGAATACAAAAAATGGGGATAAAAATTGTGCTGGTTCTAGATATCTTTTGCATATTACTTTTCTAAATCATTTCCATTTGGGATATACAATATGATGTGAAATGCCCTCACTTATTTACCAGGGTAACTTTGGACTGAAAAATGAATGATGAGAGTCAAATTTGAGGAACACTGTGGCTTGCAAGAAATATTTGTAACCTCAAAATGACATTTACAAACCAATTAGTTCGGTTTTAATCCACTTCATTTTAACTTCATGAAGATGGTGACACAGATTGTATTTTCTGCTTGGCTAATCTCTGCATCACTCTTCAGTTGTTTTCAGAGCCTACTTTTCCAAGAATAAGCACTGCGTTTTGGAAGGTTACACTCCTGAAATGAACGGTTTTAGACCTAACTTTATATGTATGCAGTTTATTAGCCTTTAAAAAATTTCAAGGGAGGAACGTCTGGGTGGCTCAGTTGGTTAAACGTCCACCTCTTGATTTCGGCTCAGGTCATAATCTCACGGTCATGGGATTGAACATGGGATCCAGCCCCATGTTGGGCTCCTTGTTGGAGCCTCACTCCCTGTCTCCCTCCCCTTCCCCCTCCCCCCTCTCCCTCAAAAAAAAAAAAAAGCAAGCAAGCAAGCAAGCAAGAAAGAAAGAAAGAAAAAGAAAATCAAGGGAAAATATGTAGCATTTGACCTAAAAGAGAAGAATGCTTTTAAGGCCTCTTATTTGGATATCTGTTGTTCGAGCAAGTGGTGTTTTTCTTTCATCTTTGTTAAAACCATCACATTTTGATTCCCTAACAAAAAGAAATATTAGTAAGTGGTTTATGCTAAGTTAACATGTAAAGAGAAAAACTATGCCAAATTTAGAAGGATATTGTTGACTGAAATAACTAGAACTTCTTACACACATGCACATTCATTTCGTATCATTTGGATTGATTTTTATCTAGAACCTACTGTAGAATACCTTTTCTTCCAGAAACTGTAATGAGATTGGTATCTATTGGTGTTCCCCATGAATAGGACTTGAACTAGAAATTTTTATTATAAGTGTCTCAGATTCTTTAGAACCAAACTGTCTGCAGTGTTAAATGTTCTTTTTCCCACATATTAAAAAAAAAAGTATTTTAGTAGTACATGTAAATAAAAACAGCCATTGTGTTTTTGATGACAAAGTAACTTGTACAAAATAAGTTATTTGTATAATTTTTTTGTTGATTTAGATCATTGTCTCTGGCAGAGAGTCTTTAGATATACTACAAATTGTTGCTATCTAAAACTAAATGGTGAGTTTCTTGGAAAAACATTTTTTAGTCTAGTTATTTTGTTATGGAAAATGGAAAGTATGATCATCTGCTTATGCAGATATGATAATAGCAAAATAATGTTCCTATTATATCAGCAGGAGACTAGTTTTTCCAGGATTTCTTTTTTTTTTTTTTTAATTTTTTTTTTAACATTTATTTATTTTTGAGACAGAGAGAGACAGAGCATGAATGGGGGAGGGTCAGAGAGAGAGGGAGACACAGAATCTGAAACAGGCTCCAGGCTCCGAGCTGTCAGCACAGAGCCTGACGCGGGGCTCAAACTCACGGACCGCGAGATCATGACCTGAGCCGAAGTCGGCCACTTAACCGACTGGGCCACCCAGGCGCCCCCAGGATTTCTTTTTTAAGGAAACATTAAAATTTGATCATTAAAACCAAATTATATCATTTAATAGTGTTAAATGTAATAATAATGAAAATATTTCTTTAATTTTGAACTGCAATGGATTGTACTTGGAATGCACAAATTAGAAATGGTGTCATATTAGCAAAGAAATGG